ATCACCACATGGTGGAAATGAGCTGCTCGGAGGAGGTCTGGCTCTCTGAGGGCTTCTCTAGTTTTTATTATTTTTTCAAGTTTGACTTTTAAAAATGGTTTTACTGGTGGCTTTAATGAATGAACATGGATCCTTTATTTTGTTCAGGCGATGAAAGTCAGCGGTGAAGCAGAGGCTGCTGTCCGTCCATCCCAGGACTCATGGAGGAGACGTGTGTGCTTCACAACAACAAACTGACTGATTGCACTCGCTGTAGGCTGCTGCTGACCAGGACACGTGTTCAGCTTCACCGTGACATCCATGATACACAACATGAAAGTCTCTCTACAGAATGTGTGTATTACTGATAAAGCAGCTTTATTTCTATTTGTGCAGCCCCATTCAAAACCCAAACGCAGCCAATGACAGAGTCGAGTCAAATCAACATAACTGCGTGCTTTATTGATTTACAGTAAAGCATTTTATAATACAGTAATAAGGCATATATTTGGTGGAGTCTGATATGTTGTGGAGTATTGACGCGTTACTCGAAAAATGATGTGAGAATGAAACACAAACGTTAGAAAGGATAAAGAAATCAAATTCTGTATCTGATCAGAACCAAAAACCTGTCGGATCATGCTGCAAACCTCTGAGGCCCGATGCGTGTGTTGCCATGACGCTCGTCTCCGAGTGGTTCCACACTGAATAAGGATGGATTTCATTTAGCCACACATGCTAATATCAGAACAGCTCACACAGCACAAAACCAAACTGCTTTAAACCAAACACAAAACAGAACACTTTGCTAGAATAAACACTTTCTCCACACAGAAAACAAGATCTAGTAAGTCCCAGGTTTACAGTAGTGCACACAGATTGGTTAGAGTCGTGTTTTTATACTCGATTCATGTTCAGTCTCAGGCAGACTTCAGAAATGCATCTGAACATTCAGTCTGGAGGCTCCTACAGTGCAGTCAACATCTTCAGAGCAGTTACAACGTCTGACGTGAATCAATCAGCCAGCAGGGATCAGTTCATAATCCACAATCTGAGAGGAGTGCGGGACCGAGTACAGTAGAGAAACTGCCTCTGAACTTTGAGAATTCAGACGAGGTAGAGCTTCGGTTACCGGGCATCTTAAAACAGGTAAATCTGAGCTGAAACCGTAATCACACAGAAGAAATACTCACACATGATCTGACACGAGCCGTGCTCAGACTCTAACTGAAACAACACTGTTCCTGTTGCAGTGCTGCTGACAGGAGAAACCAACCGATGAGCTGATGCACAGTGTACTGTGTTCTCTCAACAGGCCTGGATGGACACCAAGACAGCTCGTCAGTGACAGAAACCTCCATGTGTGTCAGTGCAACAATCAGACTGTGTTCTACACATTAAGGCCAGATGCAGAATACAAGCAGCTTCATTCAAATATTCTGTTCATATGTATAAATCTAAAAATAAATCTCATTTTCATCATCCACGACCAGTTTGTGTATAAAATATTCAAACTTCTTTGCTTTTCTTTAGAAGAAAACGACCAAGAGCCTGCCAGAGACAGCAGGGTGATGTTCACTTCTTCTGTCAGAGTGACTGAACAACTGGGAAGAAGTCATTCGTCCAGACTGAGACGTGTGACTTTGTCGGTGAAAAGATCATTTTAAAGAAGCTGAATGACTTTCCACTGCGAGTGTGAAGCCTTTGGACATTTCATATGTGGTCTAAGAGGAGCAAAGGGATCAGAGGTGGTCTTCTGCTGTGGACGGCCTTCAGCACAGAGCGCTGTGGTGTGGACAGCACCGGGCCAGGCAGCAGTTCTAGTCAGGATGATGATGGTCAGTATTGATACCACCATCACTTCTTGTTTTCAGTGCTGTGATACATTCCTAATGTACAAATCTGTCCCAAAGGAAGACTTCAAATGAGACGATTCTGTCCCTCAATGTAGAAAGACAATAAATGAGCGGCTTGTCCAGAACCCGTCTGGTTGTGGAGGTGACGTTCCATCACCTGTGCAGCCCGACAACAGACACCACCACAAACCGTGTTCCAGTGTTTCTCTCTCAGGTCCATCGCCTGCTGTCAACAAACTGCTCGTATTCAAGGAGCCTTAAGTCCTGTGTGAGGTTCTATCAGACGGACTTCTCTTGGAGATCAGAACCACCCAAGTTTGTCTTTTATCACAGTTAATCTCGTCTGACTCACTGGATGTGAAGTGCTGCTCTTTTCAGTGGGAGTTGTCCTCCAACAACCTCAGAGCAGCAACCTGCCAAACAGAACTCTTCCAGTACTTCCACGGTTCTGGTTCCTACAATGAGAAGGGAGACCGACTCGCTTTCAGTGCTCGTGCAAATGTTCCACCACGACAGTCCTGACCAACACCAGAGCTACACCCTTTGCTCGGCCCCACCCAAGACGACTGGTTTAAAGAAACACCAACAAGCCAGAGCAGCTGTTACCACCGAGGCCACAAGGCGGCACGGTGCAGCCGGACCGGACCGCTCCAGAGGACGGGTCGGCAGAGGGATGCTGTACTGAATGCAGCGTGACAGCTGCGCCTGAACACGCTGGTCGTTTATGCTCAAACAGTCCACATGGTGGCGCTCTACCCACTGAAATGACTCAGGCTGTGTGACGTCGCTGCTGGCTGTGACTGCGCCACCACCTGGTCAGACTTCAACCACGGCCGGCCCGCCGGTCGGCCCGCAAGTCAGCCCAACGGTCGGCCAGCAGGTCAGCCCGCAGGTCGGCCCTCGGGTCGGCCCTCGGGTCGGCCCGCAGGTCGGCCTTTAAAGCTGCACGGTCAGTTCTTTTTGTAAACAAAGTTTACATTCATACTTTTTGCAAACATACATTGTGGTATATTTTAGACGGCTAACACGTTCCCTCTTTGCTGCAAAGCTGATTTTCAACCTTCTTCTCTTTAAAAATACCAGGAACAGCTACAAAGCATCACATTTGTTCGTCGCCTACTTTTGTGCGTTGCTACAGAGCATCAGTAGTAAAATCCTGTCAGGACTGAGTCCATCAGACAGACTCATGGGGAGCCTCCTAGCAGTCCACAGGGAGCCTCATGGAGCCTCGTCCTTACACAACAACACTAGACTACGTGTTGTGTGAGACAGAGGAGCTTCCCTCGATTGAGAAAATCACCCTGATGATGGAACAGCAACGGCATCAGGGTCCAGAAGGCTTGTGCTATAAAATGGCTGCATGGGATTGAAAGGGAGCCTCGTGGACGAAGCTGTTTAGATCACACGAGCTGCTCAGGACATGTTGGCCAACGCTGGGTTTGATCTGCTCTGACTTCATAGAGGTACAACACTGTCTCACCAGCTTCCTCCTGTTTTTGGTTTCAACTCCACTAATTATGACGTTTGATGATGTTACTGGAAAAAAGCATCCAGATGATGTAAATGGGTTTGACTGCTGACTTGTCCGGGTTCTGAATCAGGCCCAGAGAGCTGTGCACACAGTACACTGTGCTGACAGGAGTACAGGCAGAGAACCTGCCATGAAGATGTTAACGCCGGGAAAGACCAGTGGATGGATGGATGGATGAGTAAATAAAAAAGATAATGTGATACGGAGTTAGGCAACACACACACACACACACACACGCACACACACACACAGAGTCTCAAAGACAACGTACTGTAAAGATCCAGGATGCCTGCATTACCTTGACAGTAGTGTACGCTGTTACAGAAAGACCTCCTCCTCTTAGAAAGCACCCTTATAGTTAAAATCATTCTTGTTTGGATACAAACGTCTGAAATGCTTTATCTGTTATCCCAGTTACAAAGAGACGGCATATAGAACTACAGTGAACACACGGATCTGTATCGCCCCCCGACCCCACTCTCCTTTTATACAATTGCATAGAAGTTTAAAAACCAGCCTCTGTTAATAACAAAACAACTCCAAGACGTTTAAGAAACTACTCAAATCTACAAGTTATAATGTTTTTTTTGTTTTCTTACATGTCATTTGCTGGAACCGCAATCCTTCACAAAAATAGACATTATATATATTCTCTTTGTAAACTGTTTCCAATCCAGTTGTTTTGACTAGAAAAGCATGCGATGGGGGGCGGGGCGGGACGGAGGAGGGTTGGGGGCGGGTTGGGGGTAAGGCGGGATCAGAAAAGCAGGGCCTCGTGCTGTTCGGCGCTCTGCTCGTCCGTCATCACGCTGACCAGTGACTCCATGGCGCGGCCCAGGTCGTCGGCCATGTGGAACAAACTGCCGATGTTTGGACCTGCAGAGACAGAGGAGGGAGTGATGAGACAGTCGCTAACCAACGCTGAGTGCAGGTTAGCACGATGACGCCATGCCAGCATGTGTCAGTCTGCGTTAGCAACAAGACGACGCATCAGGGGATGGTTCAGTACAACATGTCCAGTGAAGATATCTGGTGACGAAGCTCTGATTTGATCAGAACCAGAAGGAAACACGCTGAGCGAGGTGTTTCCTCCACTTCCATTAACTAAGGCTCTTATCCCACAACGCCTCTGATAACTAAACTACAAAAACACGATGGAAGCAAAAGGGTGAGAAGTCACACTGGACTCGTCTCTGCCGGGCAATGAGCTGAAACACACTGACCTAAACATAGTCTGTGTCCAACAGGTCAGCTGGTGTTGGTCGTGTTTCACGCTGTCTGGACCTGAAGACACTGAACTAAACTGTCAACAGCTCATCAGTCATGTGAGTTAAACGTCTGAGCTGAATCAGTCTCGTTTAACACATCCCGTGGTACTGAACGGTCTGGCTGCTGTCCTCCTGCTGGCTCGTTTGTATTTCTTTAAACCAATCACAGGTGTGATGGGCGGAGCCAAGTGAAGGATGCACCTAAAGTCGTGATGGTGGGATACTGACATGCAGGGAGACGAGCACTGTGATTAAAGTGGATCATCGACCGCAATCCTCAGCAAAGTCTGAGCTAGCCGACATCCAAGTGGTGACGTAGACGTGTAGCGTAAGCAGTGGTTAGGGGCAGAGAGGGGAGGCTGGAAGGTGGGAGAGAGAAGGTGGAGCCACTGACCTCTCATGGGTGTCCCCTTCTCCCGCCTGGCTCACCGAGAAAAGGAGGAAAGGAAGAAAAGAGAAGACAGGAAGAAAGAGAGGTACAATCAGCCTTGTGTTGGTCATAGAGAGGACAGAAGACTTCTGAAGGACATGAACACTCTGCGTCAGGCTTACAGCTGTGATCAGGTCTGACTGGAGGGAAAATGGAGGCACTTCAACAAAGCAGGAGTTACCAGAACTAATGACAGGAGCAGTATGAGCTCTGTCCAGTCAGATATACAGGTGTAGACCAGCACAGCATCTGACTAAGTCTCTCAGACCCTCCTCTGATCTTACATCCTGTTTCAAACTAACGGTGGCTGCTGTGGATGAGAGAAGTGGCTGCGTACCCTGGCTGTGAGGGAACGAGTTGTTGAGCTGCTCCATCACCTCCTCCAGGCCCGACGTGTCTTGAGAGGGGCTGGACAGCTCGTCGTCACCTGGAACAGGAAGGACATGAAGGTTGTCCACTTTCTGGCTGCTGAAATAACGCTGTGCTGATAACACACACACACACACACACACACACACACACACTCATCTCTTTTTTTAAAGGCAGCCACTCTCTGAACAGCATGGACAGTGTAAACAGAGACCTCACAGCTTGCAGACGTCACGCTGCTGGATGTTGTTCTACAGTAAACTACAACACACTCCTTTAACATACGTGTGTGTGTGTGTGTGTGTGTGTGTGTGTGTGTGTGTGTGTGTGTCTTTACCCATCGTGTCAGTCGTCTGGCTGGCGGCCACGCGGAGCAGAGGGAGGGAGGAGTCGGAGCGCTGAGAGGAGGTGGAGGGAGAGGACAGCGCCGTGCCGTTCACCTTGGAGTCCGTCTGCACACACACACACACACACACGCACAGAGACACACACACACACGCACAGAGACACACACACACACACACAGACACACACACACACACACAAACACAGAGACACACACACACACACAGAGACAAACAGACAGACAGACACACACACACACACAGACACACACACAGAGACAGACAGACAGACAGACAGACAGACAGACAGACTAGAGTCACAACAAGTCGGCAGCTGTTTAATCAGAAGCGTTTTCAAGGTGAGTGTGTGTGTGTGGGCCTGAGCAGCCGGCCTGGTCCTTGGTGTCTCACTGTGGAGATTCAGCTCTATGATCACTAGTGGGAACTTCTACAGACTGGATGTTGTAAAGCCAGGAGGCCAGCAGGGCCACAGACTCACTTAAAGGCTTCTGAACATGTAAAGGTGATTCACTGATTATATGGCCAGTTGACAAACTCTGATTCAGTTGTGTTCCGATAACGTCTATCTGTGGATGTTTGGAGCCTTTGTGTACTTAACACGGATTCATACATGTTACAGTCTTCATATAGACGATGTATCTACAGGCAGCCATGTGTCCACGGGCCGAGGTGGTGGGACATATGCTGATCCTGTGTCTTCAGTGCTGCAGTGCAGCTACATCAGATATGACTGAACATGTAACATGCTGCCTTTTCAAACTGCTGCAGTATCGCAGTATTTAGAATAAAGTTCACCCGCACAGTTGACGGAGGTCAGCTATTTGGGTGCTAGGTTTCTATCGACAGCACCAGTCCAAAGTCAGGCCACACCTTCTCAATCAGTGGTCTGTATTTATGGTCATTATTTTCCACATCAGATATTAACACTGAAGACATCAAAACTATGAAAGAACACATCTGGAACTATGCTCTAAACAAACCAGTGTGACTGGTGGGTCTACCTGCTCCAGCAGCTGTCTCAGCCGATGCAGTTGGGACTCCAGCTGTTTGTTGTGGTCTTCCAGGATCTGCATCCGGGCCTCCAGGCGACCTTTATGCTGCCGGAGCAGCTTGGCCTCTGCGATGAGCTCGGCGTCGCGTGCACTCTGCGGCGACACCGGGAGGATCTCTGGGGGCGACGGCAGCGGGGACAGACCCTTTCTGTCGTGGGCCTTCTTCAGACGGTCGTACTCTGCTTGTAGCTTCCTGCAGAGAGGAGCACAGGGAAGGTTACATACATGACTCCCAGTGCTTAGCAGAGAAGCTCTACTTGTGTTTTACTGTTGTCTTGGGGGAGCTGGGTGTTTGTAGCAACACGGTGTGAGATGTAGATAAACGGAGGCGGTAAGCATCGATCAGCAGCACTGATCATTAACATGATCACGATGGTAGCTGTGACTCAACTGTGGAGCATCTTTTTCCAAGCTCGTCTTGGGGCTCCTTCACCACCGCTCACAACACATTTGGATCATTGTCCAGCAGTGAGCAGCTTGGTTTCTGCGTTGTGGGAGAACAGTGTCCTTTCACAGCACATTTTAAAGCTGGTTGTTTTTCTGAGTAGGAACTTTAGAACGTGGCCTAACAAAGGTCATCGTTCACCTGAAACGCTGCTGAGGAAAGACTATTGATGTGTGTCCTGTTTGTTCTTTTACTCTGTCACTGATTAAAACTAAAAAGCCTTCACAATGCGCCCAGCTCTCAACCTGGGTCTGAGCCTGATAAATCCAGGATGTGGTCTTCCCACAACATATAGTGATGGTATTTGATGAGAAATTCTTAGGATTTATTTCCCAGTGCATTCTGAAACCCGCCTGTTGGCTAACGTCACACCTTCAGCTGCTGTCAGGCTCACAGACGGGTTGTTGTATTTTGTTCTATTGTACTTAATGTACAGAAAAAAAGAAAACAAAGATCTAAATGAGATGCTGGATAGTGACGCGGTCCTATCTGCTTGTGTCTTTCTTTATTTTTAGTGTTTTGTACTTCATTAAGTTCAACAAATACAAACCCAGACGAGGCCCATGCTTTGGAACCCATACATCTAGAACCGTCACTATTGTCGCCTGTTGTTCAGCAAACGTGACCCTTTAACAGGAGGTTCAGCTGAGTTTGGAGTTGAGGGAATAAATGCTGCAGCCCAGAGAAGACATTAATGGGTCGAGTCTCTGACCTGTTCTCCTGCTCCAGGTCGTTCAGGACCCTCTCCAGCTCGCCCTTCTCCTCCGTTTCCATGGAGATGAGGATCTGGGCAGGACTGCGGGGCTGGCTGAGAGGAGAGCCTTGGTTCAGAGACTGGCAGTAGTGCTGGATCAACATGTGCTCGTCATCGCTGCAGACACACACACATATCAAACATGCCCACCGGTGATGGGCACACACATAAACACACATTCATATAGTCACAGAGGTTCCGGTGCATGTACACATGCACACAACACACACAACACACACACACACACACAGGAAAATGGAGAAAAAGAAAATCAGCAAGTGAATGAGGAACCAGCAGTGGAGCAGGACGGCAGCACAGAACAGGAGTCTACAGCACAGCGGGACAGAGAGGGTGGAGCTGTCGTCCTCAAAACATTTGTCCTGGACTCTGTTTGGAACGCTGGCAGCTCTGATGAGGTGTCTAGATGCTGCTGCAGTAGCTGCTCTATCAAACACGCTGCACTTTGCAAGCTGTAGATGTGTATTATTTATAGATTTATCTTTGTGGCTAACGCTCAACTCTAAACAGCTAAACGCTAAACAGAGACTGCAAACACACTCAAACATAAGATGCATAAATACATTTTTGACACCTTAACGTATCTGCAGACAGTTTGCTGCGTACATTAATTCAGGTTTCCTCCAGTAAGACAGTGATGGCTGCATTTTGGGCTGATGTGAATGAAAAACCTCTAATTTAATTGAAGCAATAAAACACTTGGTGACAGGATGAGTAAAACTGACTGGGCAGCAACTTGACTGATCGTTTGTTAGGAAGTCCACATATTTAGACGTAGTTCAGTTGAAGGAGTAAGTAAACAGTGGAGTCAAAATGACCTAAAATAACCCTGATGATGTCATAGGACTAAATCATCATTATAACAGGAAGCTTGTGTCACAAATTGAAAGAGTTTGAACTATATGGGCATTAATTAAGAAGGTCTAATGAAAGTACCACTGTTTGCATTATGAGAAATGTAGTATTTAGTGATTTAATTCATGTTAGGAACCAAAAGCATCTCAGCCTCTGATGCTGAAGTCTGGAACCATCTTCTCTGAATCTGTTTTTTAGGAGCCCCTCTACTTTATAAGTGTTTGATAGCGACTAACCAAAGCACCCCTTCAATCACTAAATGACTCCGTTAAACTAATTCAAACTCCAACAAACACATATGAGGCCTTTTTCTTTGTTATTATTTTAACTTTCAATAGTGTCAAGAGTTGCATTTAATGCCAGAAGCTGCAGGCGATGACATAAAGTGACTGGGCCGACTGGACAAGTGCCAGTAAACTGGACTTATGAGTGTGGGAACTTAAATGTGCCATCTAGAGGTTCTGGAAATCAAAAGCTAGCAGCCTCTCCTAATAGTTCATATGGGAGTTCTTACATAGAGAAGTGGAGCAGAGTCATGTTTAGGCAGGCTGAGACATTCATTCTGATTTCTACAAATTTAATTTTGACTACGTGGTTCTGCAAGTTTGGGTTTTGTGTTCCTGTCTCTGCACCATGCAAAAGATCTGTTCTGGAAAGACAAAAGCTAATGCAAGACTGTCAGTTTAAACATGTATGCTTCAATGAATATGTTCCTACTTTGATCATAAATGTGATAAATAATCTAGATTACATTCATCCAGAGAAAATCTAGGGACAACATCAGAATGACATTTGAGATGGGCTGATAGAATCATCTGATCACATCATATCTGTGGTTATGATGATGCAAACAACAAGAATAAAATCATAACGTGAGCTTGAATCCAGAATACTCAGCACAGTCACCGACATAAATCACAGCCAGCCAATGGAAACAAAGACGACAGAGCCAGTTCACACACAGTGATCCAATCAGTGGGTGAGGAGGGTTTGGCAAAACAAACAAAAAGCGGTTCTCACATGCTCTCATTGGGTGAGATACTGTCATTCAGATAAGAGCCATTACGATTCTCCATTTCTGCTAACCTGCGAAGGGGGAAGAAACACAGCAGTCAGTCCCAGAAGCAAAGCAATCAGGAGGTGAGAGGGAAATCCACCTTAAACAGAACCCTGGTACCGCAAATTCTGGGCTGTACACATGTGGAGCCGTGGCTAATGGCTAGGCTCATGTCATGGTACCCTTATGAACATGCAGAAAGCATGACGTGACCTTAAGGCAGGAATGATTTAAAAGAAGATGTCAACACAACTTTGTTAGATTGTTTTCACATTGAGTTTGCAGTAACTTCAGAGTGAGTACGTTTCTTTATAAAGACTGAATGGTCAGTAGAAAGTCGCTGTAAGTGTTAGAAAACTGTTTGTTGTTAGATCTGAGAGCGACCAGCCGTCCTTTGTGAACAGAAACAGGTTCATGTTTTCATGCTGCTCGTGTTTTGAGCACTACAACCGAAGCCGGTCATCGTCACTGTGTTGACGTGAAGGCGAATATCCATTAGACCTCAGAAGAACCTGTTATTATCTCTGAAGGAACCAGTGTCTGGCCATTGGGACGCGGCCTGTCAACACATTTCATGGCTTCTCCAACAGAGCTGTCAGGATTAAACAGCTGTGATCAAAAAGATTTAAACTGCTCTGTCAGTGTTTCCACGAGATCCAGCTCCTGGTGGATGAAGTTTCTGCCCAGAAAGTAAAAAGATTTTGTGGCTTCATGAGACCTTAAAAAACAACAATCAGAACAAAATCGTTGGCAGTGAGCGTTTAAGGAGATAGACTCCAGCTGACTGACATCTAGATAACCTGGGAACTATGAGCTCACTCATGGCTTGATTATGTTCCTCCTTCACTCTACCGCCTTCTGGATTATATCTGGAATCTGGTGGATCTAGATGCAGAGGCTTTGAGAACTGGGCCGGTGTGACTCAGCGAGTGTTGGTGGGTTCTTCTGTGTCAGCCCAAGGCAACAGTGTCAAACACGTTCTGTTCGGGGTCAAACACTGGGCCTGTGGCTCCGACCTCAGGCTGGCTCCAGCGAGGAAAACCCACTGCGCCTGACTGACTGAATAAAGGACCAATTGATGGACTGCTTGACTGACTTATTGTTTTATTGATTTGACACTTGTTGTCCCTCAGTGGCGGGTTTGTCGGAGTCGTTAGCATCAGTGCAAAATGAAGGAACACTGCAGCGTTTGGGTGAATTAGCTGTGATTGACTCCATGTGGCACCACAACACTTCTGACGGCTTTTCTCTCCTCGAGCTATCGATGACGTTTTGGAGAGCTCAGACGCACATACAAGCAACTTCTCTGAAAGTGAAACTGATATTCTGAATTTCAGAGGGAATTTATGAACACAGTCACAGTTAAACAAATGGCTGGAAATCCTTCCTTTTAGCCATTAGCCTGTGTTGGTCTATTATTATCAACTTCCTGTTTGGACTGGCAGCCGACAACACGAGGGATGAACTACGAGCTCAGCAGTCACACATTTCTTTGCCCAGATGTGATGAACTTTTACTGAATGTTTCAACAGATGATGTGTTTCTGCTCTAAACCGACTTGTTGCTCTTGTGGCAACGAACATTTTTCACATCGACTGTATTAAAGTGTAATCGTGGGTCACCTGTTGGTGCTGCAGGGATCTCTCACTGGCTTGTGGACAGCAGATAGCTCATACATAGAGGATCTGGTGTTTAGAGTTCTTTCTTTATTAATAATATAATCAATTTTACTCTTTGATGACTATTTTTCTGGACTGACTTTTAGATCTATTGAGTGAAATATTGAGGAAATGTTGACCGAATGATCCCAGAACCGATCCTTATGAGATACTATGAGCACAGTGGTGCAGTGCTTCAGCATTTCCTCCTAATTCATCATTTCAAATCAATCAAAATGGTTGTGGTGTGTCGTAGGGGGAGCTCTCTAGAAGAGCCACTATCTGCTCACAGACCTGAGGACAGCGACAGGGAATGCAAAAAAAAGAAAAGCATGGGGAAGGCTGCGTCATTGCATCTGCTCCCAAAGCGTGAGCACACGCTGCTCAGAGCCTGTGCTGAATGCAGACAGTGCATTACCGGTTGGCGTAGTGCTCGATCCGAGTGTGTGTGTCATCGTGTGAGAGCTGAGGTGACGAGCCGGGCCTGTGAGGAGGAAACAGAGAAAAACAGACATCATTAATACACACACATTAGAAATCGACCGATCAGATCACCGGCCCGACCGACTGAGGCCGATTTTTGGCATTTTTAGATAATCGGCAGTGTTATCTCTTACTGTTTAGTTAAAGCTGATGCTGTAAGTTTAGAGCTCTGTAACATCTTTCTTAAGTCAGACTAACTTTAACAACCTGCTCCAGCTGACAGACACGTCTCTCCAGCAGAGACACGGCCTGCAAAACACTGAACAAGAAGCAAAGCACAATCCACAAATCAGAGCATTAGCTGCATTCACAGTGGCTGAAGTTACGCTAACGGCTAGCGGTTTGGACTGACAGAGAAGTGGAGTGTTTGCACAAACGTAAAAGCCAGCACCGCTTTACCAGCATCCAAACTGTAAACATGGTCACACATGTGGCGCTGATGATGCTTTAGTCGCACACTGTGACGACTCCGGCTCCTCCTGTCTACATGCAGACGTAAACACAGAGTTTTTCCAAATCTCCACTTTAGCCGGTTTTCAGATATGATGGTTTTCGGTGACTCGTAGCTTCGTCTACGTGTAAACCAAAGGCCCGTTGAATTATCACCGTTGTTGCTGCGTGTAAACGGGGTCTTTGAGAACTCTAACCAGTTCTCATGCAGTGCCGTAGTCCTTGAAAGATTAGATTTGAATCTGAAAATCCTGAAAACTTCCTTTACCCTGACATTTGGAAGTGTTTTCATGTTATGAGCCCAAACAGATGAGTTTTCACAATGAAGTAAACACACAACAGACAGCGTCAGCTCAGCGTTTGTCTTTTATCATCACATGTGCCACACAGCACTCTGGTCTCCTCTGAGCGGTTCAGGTTCAATGTGCTGAAACACACTGCCACACCTCCCATTAGATACGAGCCGTTTCTCAGCTCTGTTTTCTTTTAGGCCTGATACACATGCTAATTCAGGGTTTAGGCCCCTATTGGTTACAGGAATGATGTTTTCCACGGTAGTGACACCAGGCATGCATACTTCCCATGAGCACTTGCTGCACAAAATGAGCAACAGACAGAGCTGAGATTGTTCAGTTGTAAGTATTTCAAGGGCTACTGCATCCTCCATGCTGTGGCTCTGCTGTTGCAGAGGGACCAAGGCTCAACATCGAGCTATTGTAGATACCTTTATTGTTTTAGTTTATGTCCACTGCATGCTGAGGATCTTACGTTGCTAAAGTGTGCAACAGCCTGTCCAGTGTCATCAGTAAACCCAACTCCAACCAAAACTAGCACGACTGAATAAAGTTCGGTTTGGCCATTTTCCTCTGTCAACAGCATTTAACTGTAACCCCAGTGTAACAACATAACATCAGTCAAATGCATTTATTCCTAACAATTTACATGTGCACCAGTGACTTATTTACCGGGCATTGGTCGACACACCAGTCCAACCCGGTTAGACTGAGTGTGTACTCTAATGTCATACTGGTGGTCAAAGTGTCTTTAAGAGATGAAGAGGAGACAGAGCAGGTATCAGCAGCACAGCAGCGCTACACCTTGTGCTTGAAAAACTGACACCACAGCAGTCCTGCAGCTTTGCTCTGTGAACAACATCTGGCGAAAGACTTTCTTTCAGGATTAATAAAGTTCTATTTTATCGTATCTTCTCTTCATAGGAGTGCGTTCAGCTGGGTGCATTGAAAAGCTAAATATATTCAAGTCACACGACACATTACAAATAAGGTTCATAAATAGGTCTTCACTTTACATGACATTTTTCATCACTGGCCAGGATAGTTTTTCTTTAAAAGGCAAGTTGAATGTCCAGATCAGAGGAGCAACTCTTCCTGATGTTGAGTAAAGCACGAGCCAGAAAGTGTCCGATGTAAATCCACCACAGCTGCAGACAGAACGATGATGTGAAATGGGCGGAGCTCCGATAAACACAGACAGTGTGTGTTTGTGAGAGAGAGAGAGAGGTCAGGAGCTGAAGGTACAGTGTGAGTGTGTGTCTGTGTGTTTTGGCCAGGTACTCACGCATGGTCTACGGGCCAGAAGTTGATCAGAGTGACAGGACTGCAAGACAAAAAAAAAAAACATGAGATGAAGACACAGGAAGTGGGAGGACTGAAGCATGTAAAGCAGTGAGAGCTGATGAGGGAGAGGTCACATGGTCCCAGACTGGCACAAGCAACAGCGTGATAACATGATTAATACTGTCCATTGGCACGCAGGCAGAAAACAAACAACAAACCATCACCTGTGATCTGTCAGCCTCGCTCACTAAAACAATTACAAAATTCAA